AGGAGCTGCTTCTCACCAATCCTCAGAGACACGCCGTGCGCGAAGCAGTTGGAAAGCGCCCGTGACTGTGCCGGCAAGGCAACGCACTTCTCGCTGCTTTCGCAAGATGCAAGGCATGGCAAGGTGGGATGGTGGTGAAATGAGAGGTGGGAGGTGGGCAGAGGGAACGTAGGTAGGGGTTGGACTGGAGTCCGTTTGGGGGGATGTGTGGTTGGCGAGGGGGTCGCGGAAGTAGTTGCATCCGCGCTAGCACCCAGTCGTACAGACCATGTAATTCTGGCAATTGTCTGCTTGTTGCATGTTGTGACCCTGGTGCTACCAACCATACGGGTATCAGTGATGTGGAGGCATCGCCCCTCCGAAAATGCTACAAGTCGCAAGGCTGATGTTACGATACCCTTCCTCACAAAATGCTGCAGCTTACAGCGGTCTCTACTTGTTGCGCAGTGTGGCGTCTGCGTCAGCAACCAAGCGAAATTAGCTGCAGCATGAATGTCGCGACATCCGTCGACGACAAACGTTGCCAACCACAAAAAACAAAACCGCTGCAAGTTCCAATTTGAACGGTTTTCTTCGCGGCCCATATCATCAACGATGTGTTTTGAGGATATGTAGTAGCGCTGAAATCCTGACTCCACGAATGTTGTATTCAACAAGAGAGTGACGGCGTGCGGGCCCAAAAAAACAGCAGTGTCTGGTTATCAACCATGCCTCCTAAGTGGTACCCAACAATGACGAATGCGCTGATGGCCAGCTTAGCAAGCGATGGTATCAATCTCAACCAACAGGTTACATAGTTGTCCAATGGCTGTCCATGCCCATGGTTCACATCGCAGGCTTGAAGCAGAAATCCACATCTTTGCGCAGAGGTTCTTCAAAGGCGGCCACGGGTGCATGCGACGGCGTGTACCCGAATGCAAGCCCAAGTACAGCCAAGCTTCCAGGCCAAGTTGTCCTTCCACGTCCCTTTGGGGACTTGGACCTTCAGCCGGTAGTTCGAGAGCAAGAGCCGACCCTGGCATGGAAACAGGAGCAGGTGCGTGGATGTCTGACAAAACTTATGTCCCAAAGGCCTGCACTTCTCGGAAGGGCTTGTTTATGAGCAAAACCTGAGTAGGTAGCTGAAACCATCGCTCACAAGGAACAATGCAAGCTGAGAATGGCAACAATTGCAGCTGGATCACTATCAGCTTTTGCAAACTAAACTCTGGGAGCCAGGCTGATGGGTTGATTGCATAGTGGACCTGCGTCGATTAGGATTTTCATGCCCCCTTGTAAAGCGTTTATGCGGCCGGCAGGATCACTTGTTGATGCGGCTACTTGAAACAAGCATGCAAGCCTTTTCGCCAGGAAGCATGCCCTCAAAGCCTCGGGACAGTCATACAGAGGCCTGAACACTGCTTCGTCAAGTCCAGCTGAACCACGTCAATCGCCACCGAACATGATCAAGAAAGCAACAGTGCAACTTCGGGGCTAACGTCCAACGTAGGACGAGCCGCCCCGGGCCTCAGGGCAATGCTTGCTGAGCAAGCAGAAAACGCTGCTTGCAACGTTGAGAAAGAAGACAGTCTCCTCTGAAGGGCTCGACCTGACAGCATATCGAGGGATCTCGACGCGCGGAGCGGTCGCCTGTACTTGAAGGCTTTCATGCGAGCACCGGAAAGGATGTCTCCGCTGTTGGCTGCGTCCGGCACTACGGTACTTATACGGCCGTCAAGTGTAGCTGAGACCACAAAAGCGTCGCTTCCGGAAAACAAACTTGCAAGGTGTGATGACAGCCCTTCAAAAAAAATGAACCAAACAAACGTCACTAGGGTTAAGCCTAGCTAAACCGTGTAGCAGCACGGCGCAGTCCGGTATAGTGTCCCGCCGTTTCTTGAACACTTTTGCTATCAAGTGAAATGAGGCAGGTGGCTTTGACCACTGAGCCCATCTGAGAGCCAACTTGCCACAAGGCACCTCGCGGAATGACCCCGACCGACAAAGAAAATATTCTCGCAATCATTGGGACTGGCCTAGCATCGAGCTGCCCGCTTCTTTGGCCGGCCTTGGAAAATCTGGGTTTGAGACGCAGATCTTTCCAAGAAATGCGAAAGCTCTCAGTACCCTGCGACAGCGGAGCTGGATTTGGGACGGAGTTCACCACAGGAAGCGTGAAAGGATCCTGAACGATTCACATTGCCGTTACTGCTTGCTTATGGATGTTGCCAAAAGTCAGCAAAATAGACCCGGCCATAGGGAGGCTGGAGGTTCTGACGTTGGGAAGGTCCGAAATGCACGCAGGGTCTCCAGTTCTACAAGAAGAGATTTATGCAATTTTCTCACGTATATGGTGGAAATATCATTCCCAACTCCCCTTGCCGCGTGCCTCCGGGACTAGTGCAGGCGCTGCGAAAGGATCACCAGTAGCTCCAAAGCATTTCTTCTCAACCTGTCTGGGAGTGGGAAGGGCGCAGACTTGTGGCTTGGAGCTGCATCAGGAGGAAAACGTTGGCGCGGATCAAAAAAGAGTTAACACCAAGATCATCAGATTGATTGCCCAGAGCCTGAGATAACCTGGAGCGCTTGGCAGAGCAGCCGCTGCATATAGTAGAACCCGCATTTTGCTTGTCTGCTGGCGTTGTCTTTTTCCATACGTTCTCACTGCGTTTGGGGGGCTTTTCAATGACAGTCTGCTCTTTTTTCATCCACGCCCTCATACACCACAATTATCGATAGTCATGCATTCGTTCCATTCGTTCCACTTTTCTTGCATTATCCTGCAGGCCCATGCGCCCATCCCGCCTCGGTTGCGAACATTCGAATCTGTTCGTCTGCCTCAGGACCAAGTCCTGTGTTGGAGGTTGCCTGAAAGCTGCTTTCAACACTGAAATGCATGAGGTGCATGGCAAAGTCAACTTTAAGATCGACTCCCTTCATGCGCAACCATTTTGCTGCAACGCTTACTCAGCCAGCCCGCTGCCTGCAGCGTCCACAGGGCATCGCGCACGCCATGGACTTGCCGCAGCTCATCCTCTGCTCGCTTGTCGTAAAGCAGCCTCGCATTGCGCTTCACCAATTCGCCGCAATATTTGTTGATGCCATCATCAGTCACCACGATGCGTGGGGCCGGGAAGGGGCGGCTTCTGAAGAAAGGATTAGATTCTGACCAGGTGGTGGGCAATGCATGGCCAGTGTTGGACGTTGCGGACTTATGCCCACCACATCCCACCATTAGCTTTACAATGCATAGCTAGTGCTGCAGGCGATGCGTGCAAATGTTGGCAAGCAGCTCGTTCATGATGGTCAGCGCCTTCCCAGGAAAATGTGAGACTGAGGTGATTCTGGCGCCACATGCGTAGCAACCAATGGGTGCCAAGAAGTCTACCAGCACCTTGGGACACTGCTTGCGGAAGCTAATCGCTGCCTTCAGCTTCCTCCGAGGCAAGCCGCCCTTCTCGGCGAAGGCACCAGCAAGAAGCCTAACGGCCTCTGGTACCTGGCAGTCGAAAGACATCATGAAGATTTCGGTGTCATGCAAGATTTCGGGACTGTAAACGCCTCTCGAGGTTCCTTTGCCACTCGATCACAGATCTCAGTCACCTGATTGCAGCACGGATTGGGTCAAATGAAATCTGACAGGCAAATGTAATTGTTGCATAGACAACCCTGTAAGCATCTGCTTGCAGCATGGCATCTGTCGGAAAATCAACATTGCTGCCTGCGGCCAGTGCCTGTCAAGCAGGAGGTCTTCGATGCAGAATGCTGTTGGTCAAAATCTCTTCAGGGACATTGTGTGAGCATGTGTCCCGTGGACTATTTAGACATGCGCAACCGCAGCTGGCAAGTGCCTGAAAGATCCGCTCGCCGATAGTGGGCTCAGCCGGCTCTCCGCCTGCGCCTCACAAACGCCAAATCGAGCCAAATGTGAAAGGAGTTCGCTGAGGACGTCGGGCTTTCCAATGCTATAGAAATTTGGTGAGAATTCTGGCTCATGTAAGGCAATGCCGCGTATTGTGGCGCTCTAGCGAGGTGGATGCATGTGATATGTATGATATGTACAACGGTGCCGTGAGGACAGCCTAAAGCAATTTAGAGTTAAGCAAGCAAGTTTCAGTGCGGTAGCCCTTAGCCTTGGCGGATGTTCTGCCGCACACTTTACGTCACAATGCGGTACAGTGCTGCCACGTGATTCGACATTGATGGGAAGAACGCCTTGTTGAAGCGCAGGCTTTCGGCTCAAGGTTGACTCCTTGGAGCTATCTCAGAGACAGAAACAGGACCGTGCCCACACTCTGAACTGAAGTAGGCACCACATCGAAGTCGAACAAACCCTTTGCAGGCTTCGCCGTAGTAGACGCAGTCTGGGCCTCGAATGCTGCAGGGCACCCGATGGCACCCGAGCGCATCTGGGTTCTGCAAGTACCGTAGCCTACGAGAGCCTATGAGCTGCGCGGCATTTAGTTTACGGCGCATGTGTGCGTGAAAAGATGATTACGTGGCTGCTACGGAGACATCGCTCTTTTGCATCCCAGAAGAAAAGACTTCTGAAGGTGACCAGGCCAGCAGAGCTGTCAGCGCTAAGCTTCCGCAAGCTTCTTCGCACTTGGGCTGCCGCATTCTGCTTCTTTTGCTGGAGCAGTCCAGTCAAAGGATCCGCCATGCGGCGCAAGCTGTGGCGCAACTGCACTCAATGTGTTCTAGCAATGATGTGGGCTGCTCTTGAGTGTCTAACTGCTTCAGGTGGCGCATGTATTCCCGTAGTGCAAATCTCAAGACACTGTCTAGGCGGCTGCGTGCGGCCTTTTGTTATTGTCCATGGCATCTCCTGCGGAGGCTGGGTCGAATCCAAGGCACAAGGAGTAGCAGGTAGCAACACAAGGATCGGGTAGCACCAGTCGGCACCTGCTGTCCTGTCCCTGCATACCCCTTTTTGTCTTGTGCAAAGTAGTGTAAACGAGGGTCGAGGCCACACAACTTAACGACGCAACTTCCTGTCAACAGTATCTCACGAGTAGTCGTCACCAACGTTCTCTGCGCAAGTAGCCGATCAAGTCACTGGGCATTGGCCCCGGCCTCGGCATCTTCCCGGTCAGAGAATGGTGCAAGCTTGTCTTGTTCAGAGACCGAATCAAAGCTGTGGATGATAGCACGAAATTCTGTCACTTACTGTTGCAAATGGACTGTCATCAGCACCACAAGCACTTGCACTCGCATCATCTCTGGAGACTAGCCACGCAGTTTGTTTGAAAGCATTTCTGAATTCTGGATCCAGAAGTGCCAGCTGGAATTTCACCAGTTCTGACATTTCAGCCAGCGTCAGGTACCTTGGCTAGCAAAGCAGCTGGAAAATTGTCCAGGAAACAAAGCGGGAGCAACAGCGCATCATGGAAGTGAAAGACGAACAGAAGAACCAAGGACCAAGTTGCTGCACGTACCTTGGGTAGATCTTCAGCGCCACAGATTCGATCCGAACGGGCTCAGCCGATCCATCGAGCTGAACCAGAAGGTCTGCCTAGGCGCTTCTCATGTTACGGTACCGTGTAACAAGAACGTTCAGTCACCCATCCAATCCAGGTACAATATGTCCAAACATAAATGGCCCAACTTAAAGTACGACTTACATGATGGCAGGCAGGCCGAATTCACTTATCAGCATTGGGGCTCGTGCGCTTTCAGCATTTCGCTCTGCTGCAAGCAAGACTTTCCCCAGCTTGCCTGCGCAATCAGCGCTTTTGCCTGAGATCTGCACGGGCGGATGTTGAAAGCAGAGTGGGATTAGGATAGCTCTCACCTTCTGCTTCTGTGTGAGATACACTCAGGATGAGTCGAGGCGCAAGTGGAGTCCACTTCAACGTAAGTTCCAGGTTCCAGAGCCTTGAAAATCTCAGCCTCAGAACAGATGCGAAGCCTAGCCCAGGGATGCAGCATGACATTCTTCTTGCTGGATGCTTTTGGCAAGAAGCCCGCAGGAAGAAAGCAATCGACTGCAAGCCCTCCTGTGCATGTGGCGATCATGAGCACTGCACCGATTAACTGCAGCACAAGCGGTAGCAAGTACATCAGCCACATGGCAAGATGCACAGAACTGAATGTCCTTCCACGTGTGCACAATGTTCATTCCCTCTTCGTTTGGCGATCTAAGGCGCAGCCATGAGGAGTTCGGCTTCTCGTCATCTACGAAGCTCGGCAATGGAGTTGCTGTGATGTAGCCTTCACGGCTTATGGCTGAAAGAACACAATGCAAAATTCACCCAGCAGAGGCCCAAAGGCTCAGGAACCTCCCGGACCCAGGCTTGAACGGATTCCGAACAGATTCCTGATTATCCGCATAGACAAGCGACTGCTATGGCCATGGTAAAAACATCGCAGGTGGCGGATTTCATGCAGTGCAGTGAATTTCGCATCGGTGGGCGCAAAGTTGAGAGACTCGGGGTGGACGAAGAACATCCTCAGAGGCCCATGACAGGCTCAGAGCCGTTGCAGGTGTGAAGCAAGTGTGCCGCTCAGACTCTGATGTGACTGAAACGGGGTCATCAGGTAGTATGGCGTGATGAAGGAGTCCTGCTCTAGAAATGCATTAATGGTACGGCAACACGGCTGAACAGAATACAAGAGCCTGCTTCCTTGAACGCAATGGACAGGGAAGCAGCTGAGAGCCAGGCCAGGGGCAACTCCTTACCGTTTGGCATGGACTTCAGCGCGCCTGGGTTGTCACGCGAAGCTGTCAGGGTGAGCTAGCTCCTCGCACATAATCATCATCATCATCATCATCATCATCATCATCAGCAGGCTTTTTGTGGTGTAGTTTTTGCGGCGCCAAGCACGTGTGCTGCGGCAAAAGGTCCCGTAGGCAGGCCCGCACAGGTCGATGTGGACCTTAGAGGCACATAGCCGCGCGCAAAGCCAAGGCAAAGAACGCGTGACTACAAGCACAAACCTCAAGGCTGTGATATGTTCGACAGAGTGCCATGTACAAACCATAGTCACCTTGAACAATTGCTGCAATCCACCTCGGCTTCATTTGCAACAGTTTCCAGCTTGCAGCTGCGATGCCAAAGAAGACCATCTGTGTCCATCCAAGTTGCCAGTGAGGTACAGTCTGCGACAAACTTTTCTCACCGAAACGCTCAGCAAACGTATCGCGCAGTTCATCGGTAAACATGGATGAGACACCTTAGCAAAAATTTAGATGGTGAGAAGCTGGAGGTCATTCGGAATGATTAGAATACCACTCATGTTTGCGGCCAGGACTCCCCAACCAAGCCTTTCTTGAACTTCGGGCCCAAGAGTCTTCAAGGCAAGCTGAGACGCAGGAGTGCTGAACCTGCAGCGGACTGCTACAGTGACTGCCGCATGCGAGTAGACTGAACATTGCGACACAAAACACAAAATTGCAGAACACTGCTTCTGAATGTAGTGCTACGTCTAGTGCTCGGGGGACTGCAGTCAGCTCAGCTGGCTTGATTGTGCGCGAGGTGAGATACGATAAGCGTTTGTCGACGGCCGTGGATTCTGTGTAAATACAACGGCTTTCATACTATACCAGATGACTGACTGAGACGACTGAAGACTGACTGAAGCAGGCCCTGCTCCCGAGATGAGCTGTTTAAGAGGCTTGGCTAAGCGCTGCACATGGAGACCCGAGCTCCGGAGACAGGCTCAAGGAGCTCCTTGGCTCCAGACGTAACAATGAAAAGAAATGTGGGAAAAGATGGGCTGTGCGGACTTCTGGGCACCTCACACCTGGCATGCCTGCAAGCTGCAACGGAGGTGGGAAGCAGGTCTCCGATGTCCATGGTCGGAGTGTTCAACACGACGAAGTTGACCACAGGCCCTTATTTCAAGGCATCCTTTTCAAACGAAACCGCCGGAACATCTCTTAACAGTTTTCGACGCGTTGGAATTTTCGGAACACGGAGCTCCCATCCAACACCAAGATGAGATGCGGGAATCATGCGTGATGATCACACCATAGTCCGACAGCTCTTTGATCGTCAACCTTAGACGACATCTGTGCAAGAGTATGTAGGTACCGCGGCGCAGCTTAGAGTCATCTAGACTCAGTTGATCACACACTGATTGGAGGGCACGGAGCAACTCTCTGGCACAGTGCCAACAGAGAGCATCTACTAGTCAGCTCCGCTTCGCTCACGCCAAGGGGCGCCAAAGCAAGGGTCCAGGTGTCACAGCAGGAACTGCAGACCTGAACAATACTTCCCAAAACTACCTTACGCAAGCAAAATAACTGCTTCCTTATCAAGCTTCATGCTTGAAAGCGGTGTTCAGCTGCATGCGGCGGCCTGGCTGCCATGATGCGTCCAAGTCACAATGGCCCAGTACAAGTAGTGGCGGCGGTCAGCTGTCAAGGAGCAGTCTGATGGCCAGAAGTCTTCCAAGCCTCAAGTCTGCGCTCATGCTGCCTGCAGGTTGTGAACGCCGCACTTGACGTTGCGACAAACCTGCTGCCAAAGTGGCTTACGCTCTGCTCGCTGGAGGCAATCTCCAACAAACTTTCGCTGCAGACCTGCGAGGAAGAGAGAGAAGAATTCATGCACATGAGTCTCCAACACTGCGCGGTCGCCTTGGTGACTTTGAAGTGAGGCCCCGTTTGCACCAGCGAAGCCACGTTTAATGCCACCGCAAGCACATCCTTATCGAGCAATGCTCGCAGTCTCCGAGATCTGATGCCTAGTCCCATGCCATTTGCTCGTATGACATTGTACCTGGGCTTGTACGAGAGACCATAATCGCCGAACGCTACTAGTTCACTATTCTAATGGCGTCTGCTGCTATCTGACTTTTTTGTTCACAACGTCATGCTCTACTGTGCCCTCAAGGCGTTCTGCGGTGTTCCATCCACTTGGCAGCATTCTCTTCCTGCTAGCCAGGGCTCCATCTGTGCAACCTGCAAGCTTGCCGAGTTCTGCACTTTCTCCTTGCATCAGACAGCCAACGCTGAAAGAGCTTACCTGCATATTAGGTATTTGAAGCGTGTGCCGCATGTTAAACATGGCGCGAACGTGTTTTCCCCCGTGCCTTCATACCGTTGCCGCTCATCCTCCGTCCGCCAGCAGTGGACGTGCAGCGCTGGAGAAGCTCGCGATCCTGCTTCTGTCAACGCAGACCATCTACAGGACTGGCAGGTTCCGACAAACCCTAAGCCATCATATTTCACTTTGTGAGCCATAAAGTGGCAGCCCTTGCCTCAAAGTCATGTATCATCTGGAAACTCACACGCAAACAGGTCTCCAGTATGCAGCTGGGCGGCTTGGAGTTTCGTGCTGACCCAGCCGCACACCGGACCAGCACCCTCGAGCAGCCTGGGCATGAAAATTGTTCGAGGAAACGTGGCACGTGGCGTTCTCACAGCAAATGCCAGTAAGACGCTTGTAGTGGAGCCTGTCACCATCAAGCTCCACCTCCTCTACGACTGAGCCTACCAACAGTCAGGACTGCCCAAATGTGCTGCTGGAGACTCTGCTGGCCTGTTCGCAAGCGCTGAGGCTCACGTCCAGAGCCTAGCAATTGCAATATCACCGTCTCAGGCCAGTTGCACCAGCTGCAGCAGGCGTGAATCACATTCAATACACCCCTCATCCTGGCCTAAACCCTTGCCGGTGCGCACCAGCAGCCCACCAGAAATTGCACCACCAATGACTTCCCAAGTTTGCACTGCCTTTACTGGCATTGGTAATTGGAAGAACCTTAGACGAGCGGGCTCGCCACGTGGCTTCTCACATCTGCCCAGCTTCGCTTTGTATCACATGTCGCATGTAATGAGTCCAAAGTGCTATAAAGGCAGTTGCATTAAAACAGCAGCTGCCAGAAGACAGGGAACCATGTCCGGCGAAGCTGCTTTACATGTTTGCGCATGTATTTCTGTTGGTATTTCACTGCCACAGCCAATCTTCTGGAACACAATGGCTTCACTAGTCTGGGCTGTCTTATCATCGCATGGAAGCATAACGGAACTGTGTCAACGTCAGGTACTGTAGCAGGTTCTCATGTCCCTACGGCTCAGACTAAGACGGATCGCTGAGGCTTGAAACTCCCACAGTAGCATAATCTCCTACGCAAGCCCAGCCTGGTCCAGAAGAAAGTGAATACAAGCAGGAACACGCAAATAAATGGCTCTTGAAGATCTGATGCCTGCTTCTCTGATGGCTGAGAGCGATACTCAAACCTGGATACCTTTTGCCAAGTGACTTCTTCTGGACAGGCTTGGAGCCAAACGGCAGCATGACATGATTGTCAGCTCTGTTCTTTCTCGACTCTTTCTCGACTTGGAATTGCGCCCTCAGTGGCGACTACTCTACCCCTTCTGCATTGGCATCTGCGAGCCTGGAAGATCTGTACAAGCTTGACCTAGGCTGCCGTAGACTTTTAGCATTTGAGAGGCCCAACCACCGAGCAGCTCATGTCCCAAGGGATGGACAATGTTGGGATGGTCCAAGCCCTTCATGATGTCCAACTCCGAGGCACAAGTCACACTGAGTCACACTTGGCACAAACACAAATAGTGCAATACACGAACAATCAATGTATTCTTAAACTGCATTGCTCTTGCGGTAGCAGCCATTGCCTCTGCTTTGGCACATTTGAAAGCCTTGCAAGACGAAGGACTCACAACAAAGTGGTATGCCAGGAGGCGTTTTTCTATGGCTGCTAGTCCAGGCGCCTCCATCGATTTGGAGATTTGGCTTTGCAGGTCCACAACTTTGACAGCATAGGACTGCAACGAGGCGAATGCAGCAGCAGAAGGTCAGCTCGGGGTATGCTGTAGCCCTGTGCTTCAGCTTTCGACCGGTTGGGCCTGTGTTGGTTCATCATGCGGGGTGCAGAGGAGGACCTGAAGGCGTGGGAAAGATATGCGGGACTCACTCTACTAGCTCGTAACAGCAGGCCTGACCGAAGTTTCCACTGCCGATTGGGTAGCCCAAGTCAAAGACGTCGAAGATTGTTTGCTGGCGGGGAGCGTGAGGGTACACTTATACAATGAAGATGTCTATCATAACCTCACGCTGCTAAACTTCGCTGGCGCTTGCAAACACTGAGCAGGCAGCTATGCCAACTATCTGCCAAAGAAACTAGAGCAAGCTCAAACATGCTCAACCGCATCCGTGTCAGTCTTGTGAGCGCGCTGATGCGGGTTTGACTTAAGAAGTTTCATCCCATTCGAACAGCTTCGCCGTTGGGTGCCAAAATTCTTTGGGTGCATGCCAGGTCCCGCACCCGGCTCTGTTGTAGGCCCATGTGTACGCTGTCAGGCAGACTAGGCCGATCTAGACTGCAAATGAGGCCTCCGCTACTGGAGCTTGACTCATAATGCTGTAGTTCGGTCAGAGCCATGTTAGGGTACTACACCATCAATGCTCACCTGGCCTAGCACTCTTGAGCCCACAAGCTAATGGAGCCTGGCAGGTGAAGATGCACGTTGTTGCAGAATCGTAGCAACAGTCCAGATCCCAGCACTGAGCAACAAAACCCTTTGATGACGATCCGCCGGCGGAGTAGTGTCCAGATCAAAGCAGCTGACCAAACGTCAACCACAAGATTGCAAAATCTTAAAGCGAAGAAGAAGGTCTGTCAGGCCATAAAATCACTTCCAGTGTCAAAGTCGTCCAGGTACCCACTATACCACCAGGCAACTGCTGACAGGTCTTCCCGATCATGCAGCACGCCCAAAGTGCAGGTCACGATGGCGAGAAAAGGCCGGTCTACATTTGAGGCCGTATTTGCAAAAGGGCAGAAACTCTTCAGAAACACCTTCGCTAACAGGACGAGCCAAGCCTGCTGCAAGACTGCAAGACACTCAGCACTTGATGGCAGAGCTGATGGAACTGCTTGCCATGCCTTGCTGAACAGCTGCAACACGTTCGCATGAGCAACCACTAACTAGACTAGACCTGCAAGATGTCAGGAGCTTCACCGCAATGAGCCGGCATGAAGAAATTCAAAGCTGCTGGTGTGGCTCATTCCACTGTAGCTATATGGTGAATTGCGTAGTGTTACCACGGATAATTGTTGACGTTTTTGCATGTTTCTTGGAAAATCAGCGAGCCTTACGGCGGAGTCCTGGGCTCGCATTCCTCAAGAGGCGTCTGTGCAAAGTAGAACACCATTGCAAGGCCGCCCAAGCCTCCGCTTGCTCGTGACGGGCCGCGACGGCCTCCAGGCGTACGCCGTTGGTCTCGGGCAGGAGGAAGTAAACGAAAACCTGGCGCTCTCTGGCTTGAATTCCCGGCTCCAGTTGTTTATCTCCAAACAGGTCGGCCCCTCCAAAGCCACCACGCAGAAGAACATGTAAATACCTGTATACATTCTGTAGTTCAGGCATCGCAAGAATTGCCGTCGAAAGTGCAACAGGTTCTGCAAGCTGGCTGGGATGTGCAAGAGTCACAACAGACCAGAACCCTGTCACTCAAATCCTGCGACTTCGAACACGACGTGAGAGTCTGAGGTAGCTGCAGAAAATTCCAGCTTGTCCGTAGGCCCCAGGCACGTCCTAGCAGCCAATACCATACACTCAAACAACATGAAAATTTTGTGCAGGATCATGATTCAGAGAGGCCTTCGTCATCGTTTGGGGCAATTGCTGACCATCTGAAGCACTTGTGGCCCAGCACTCAGATGCACGGGTGAAACTGAGAATCAACTCACTCAACCACCCCTGCAATCGGAATTTCTGAGTCGCTTGTCTTGCTCGCTGCGCCGATAGTCCAAGAGAGGTTGACAAGATCAGTTTGGCTGTCTTTGCATGGTTTGTGGCGTCCAAAGTATGGAGCTGGCCGAATGTGCGCCAGGCGCAGAACTCCGCGGGACTGCAACCACAAGCTTGCGAGTATGGCCAGTGCTGGTATGCAACCGGCCAGGCTTAGTAAGACTCCAGGCAGCACGGGGTTCAGTTTGTACGACACCTCAAACATGGCTGGCGCAAACCCCCCAAAGAGACAGTAGCCAACATTGTAGCTCATTCCAACGCCGACATTGCGGACAGCCACAGGGAACAGCTCTACTATGTGCAAGGGCTGCACCATGGAGTTAAACGCCAGCAGGATGCCATAGCCAAGCCCGAAGACGAACACGACAACGGCGAACACACTGGGGCTCCTTGGTGCAGGGTGCGCCACAGAAACCCCCCACAAACACCCAGTTTTGACCATATCATGGCTCCAAGACTCTGGACAATTGCAAGGAGAAAGGGTACTCCGGCAAGCGCCAGCATGCAGGACCCAACAAACTGGTTCCAGGCAATACCTCTGTCAGGGAAGAAAGTCCTTATCGCTTTGGAAGGTTCACGCCCTACATGAGTCTACAGATGCCCATAACGTATTTCACTGAGCCGAGCCAGGTTAACCTGAGGGTGACTCTTCTCTGCGGAGTGGCAGGGTGGGCCCAACAAACCAAAAGGAAAGTCTCTGCTTTCTCGTGTGCTTGAGCTCCCGAAGCATGCATTTTGAGCTTGGGCATTCAATCGGAGCCCTTGTGAAAACATGTCTGCGCTATTCATACACTTAGGTTAGTGGAACTCGAAAGCTAGGGAAACTTTGCAACAAATCGTAGCCGCTGCCTCGCGTGTCTGCCAACCAACCTACGAAGGGTGCCAAGAGGATCGCCACAGAGCGGCTAAGGGCGCCGGCAAAGATCAAGCTTGTGTGCGAAGCGCCGTGCTTCTGGAGATGCACGCAGCCCCAAGCATAGCCGCCGTAGGACAGCATGGCTGTGCCAGACACAGACAACGCGCCCATCAAAAGGGCTCCAGGGTGCTGCCTTAAGAGGGCCCGCAGCGTACCGACGACCCCCCTTAGCGATGGATCACCTCCGTCAGCAGAGCCCCTCTTGGTAGAGCCTGCAGAGCAGCAAAGATCTAGCCAAACACAAACCAGCACCAAGCCCTGCAGAAGCACCTGTACATGCTGTGAGTTGTACGCGCGCGGCAGCAAGGCCTGCATTCTTGGCCATCTTGTTCTGCTCCAGGAAAACTTTGGATTCCGGCATCATACGCCGACCGTACACCGAAATCAGACCTGGGATGATGGCCGCAAGGAAGGGCAGTCGCCAAGCCCAGTTGGTTGCGGCCTCTTCGCCTACGGAGAACACACTCAATAAGAAATCGTTCCAAATAAGAAATCAGGGGTTGCCCAGACTTAAATTTCGCCCAGCGTCCAAGCTGAGCCGAATTTGTTATCGCTCCCAAAGCCTTCAAAGCTCCACCCTTCCAGGAGGCCCTTACCCCTCCGCCTTTTCGCCCCAGCCTTCCAGCCCTCCAACTCTTGATGAGCTTTGGCTTGTTCAGCTTCCAGATCTATCTGAAAAATGAAAGGTTAAGGTCGGGATCACATTTTAGAAATCTGCTCAGACCCTGAGCCCATCTCAAAATTCTGATGTGCAGGGTATAAGAAAATTCCAGGGTCTAGTCTCATCTACGCCCGTTTCTTATCAAAACATCTCTGCTGCTTTGAAAAAAGCTGTTATCTGTTTATCCAAGAGTCCGAAGAACGCAACCACCAGATAGCTGGAAAGCTGAGCAAGGAAAAAGCCAACGCTGCAGGTGATCCCCAGCAGCGCCATGGATCTCGCCAGCACACGTTGAGAGCCCACCTCCGTGATATAAGTGGAGACGGCTGCAATCTCACCACCTCTTGCACAGGACATACCGCTAGGCACTAGGCGGTTCAGGATTTAAACCAAGCAATTCTTCATAAACAGGTGCCTGTAGCGATCCCTTGAAGAGTACGCAAGGCCACCAGGAGGGCAAAACCCACGCGTCCTGCAAAGTCGCCAGACCTGAAGCTAGGCACCATGCCTTGACCCACTGTACCTAAGATGCACAGCGAGAATCAGCGAGTGGATGAAGCTTGATTTCTTCAACTGCCCGACTGAACTTCAAGCCTTCATGCTTTGCCACCTAGGGACCTATCAACATCCCAAAGATGGACACGAATGCAGACGCCTTGCGGCCAAAAACATCGCCCAGCAAGCCGATGGTCAGTCCGCCAAAAGGACGGGCAACAAAGCTGCAGGCGAAGAAAAGCCTGCTTAAGACTTAGTTGACAAGCTCTCGTTGCCTTTACTTAAGGGCAAAATACAAAGTCCGTGCACTCCAATCCCGACAATGCTCCCAAACAGTCTGTCCACCAAGTAGACACGGCCGAGTCATTGAAGAAGTTGACTTGAAAGTATGGCTCCAGAAAGCTGAAAATGGCAAACCTTTCAGCAAATGCAAGGTCTAGGCAGACATGCAATGCTGCAGCAGTCGGTAAGTGCAGTTGCAACCTTGATGCCCTGCGAAACTAACTAAAGCTTGCTATTTCTTGGCGGCTAGTGCAGGCCAAAGAACTCGTACCACTCCAGCACGTTGCCAAGCAGAAGCGGCCAATAGATGCGAACGACTTCAAAAACTTCCGCAAAATCTCCAACCATGGGGTGAGTTTCCTCTGTATCCTCACCCATACCAGCTGCTACCTACTGATAACTACAAACTTTTTTCAATACATCCAGCAGTTTTGGGGTTGCTGGTGCTGGCTGTGGTAGGCCCTCCATAACTTGATCGTAAACTTGAGCCGGCATTGAGGACAACATCACGCACGAACAAGAACCAAAACTCAAAAACAAAGTGGGTGAACCTGGCTTCAAAATGGCCATCAAATACTGCAAAGCGTTCGGAGCCATGACCAAAGTAGCCCCCCCTGAAGAATCAAGCCCACCGTAGTTCCAATATCTAATGTCTTGTCATGCTGGGCCTCTGCCAGCACAGGAAAGCTCAACGAGACGGCAAAGTTGGCCAGCCAGTTCATGGCCCAGCAGAAGCCAACTCCTCAAGTTCATACTAGTAACATCATAGAGGTGCAGAAGTATACAGAACTTGCCAGGCTATCTGTGTTGCTCTTGGCCGGGACATGCAGAAACCAGCATAGTCGTCCTGCTGCCCTCGCCTCTTGCTTGAAGAATTCCGATGTCATGACATAAGGCAGCCTTGTGAAGCATTAGAAGCAATGGCGAGGCCATGATGTTTTTGTGAGAGCAGTGCTTTATCAGAGTCCCGAGTTGTGCACGGGCCCAAGGACAAGGAGAAAGCGGCCCGGAATAGCAGCATACCCGACAAGGAAAACCAAGCCTGAGCGATCAAGAGCTTGCCGCAGATCATCTATGCTTAGCGAGGTTCTGCTCCTCTCTTCTCCGATATGCTGAAAATTAAGGAACTCTGGGGGCTCCGGCCGTGAAAGCTACGGCCATCCCTGCGCCCCGCTCCACGGATCCTGCAATCAAAAGCCTTGGATGAGACTTCGACAAGATTGGCTCAGACAAGCTGTGCACATCTTCATAAAATTCACCGAGCGGCAGCAGGCCGGCCATCATGCCAATGAGGCCTACCAGGGCCAGCGGCCGCCTCCCGATCCGATCAATGTACCTTATCAGCACCTGCAGTGCGGGCATGCAAATCTATACAGAACTCCATGGCCTCTCACCCAGTTCTTGCAGTCCAAGCATAGCACTGCTGTTGCTGTCAGCTGGATGAGGCTCACCAACCTCACGCAGACTGGTGGGGATGGCCGAAGGAACGCTATAAAGCACCCGACACCGACACACCAACCATGGAACCCATGGGTTGCTGTGAGAGGTTGATAGAGCTGGCTTTTGTGCAGGACTCAAAACGGATCCCCAGAAGACCTTCAATGAGAAAGCACCACATCCGACTCAAAGAACCTCAGCGGATCCAACAGGGAACCTGACGGCTTTCTTCGCTCCGAGCGGCACAGTAGAAATCATGGAGTACCGTCCAAATCCAGCATCCTCCAGGATCCTGCACATCAGCAAACTAATAACATTCATGCCGAGCGCTGAGGGCACTATTGAACAGGTGTCATGCACTAGTTTGCATCTCTCCATCTGGAAATTTCTGCGGCCAAGACACTGCGGAGCGAAGTAGATGAAAACATTGATGCCAGAGACTTGCTGAAGCACATTGATGGCAACTCCTACAATGGTGGAAGCCTCAGCTGCCATTTGCAAACCTTTTGGCCTCGAACTCCAGAATATCCAGAATTCTGGCCATGTTCTGTGCGAGCTGCCCGGTGCTCCGCTTGGCAAAGGCCAAGGGATGTGACTGCTGGCACATCAGCTACATGGCTGAGGTCAGCCTCATAGCAGTAACACGCATAGCATTGGCTTACCGGATAACATGCTGAACAATGCAGCGGCACCTCTAATCTGGACAGCTCCTCATCAAGGCAGCTTGGTGCTGCCTCATAATTCATGACGGTACATGTTCGCGAACGGACAATCCGCAAACGCACACCGATGCCTTTGGGAACAGCAGCTGCAAACAGCGGCGTGCGTCCTAGAGCTGATGAGTAGAACGCAGCTTCACCGTAAGAGCATCAACGGCGTGAGTCGCCACTGCCTCTCTCTGTGACTGCGCGAGGAGCCAGCGAGGAGTTTCAGGCAGGTGCTGGCTCAGCAACAGCTGCGCAAGGGCCGGCAGCACCTCAGCAGCACTCAAGGCATCAGCTGTCTGGCCTGCCGCGCACCGATGCTCTTTGAGCAACAGCGCTGCTAGGCCAAATTGCCATCTCCAAGCCTGACTTGGAAATGGTTGCAGCGCTGCTGACCTGCAGAATTCCAGGCATCTGCAAGAACAATGAATAATCATGTGCCTCCAAGGTCTCTCAGAAGCTCTCCAAGCCAAGCTGCACAATATATGATGCGAGTATACCACTGGTGCCAATGAAGGGTGCCCATCCACCCAAGCGTCCACGGCAAACGGCTGGACTGACCTGGAGTAGCAATCAATCAACTCAAATTCATGTGAGTATCTGTGAATAGCTTCATATCACAGAGCGCAGTATTGCCACAAGGCCCAAGGTGCTTCCGTAATGTAAAGGTTGGTGAGCACCGAAGAAACGCCAATTGAAAGTCCACACAGCGACCTGTTAGTTGATGCACGCAGCCACCAACTGCACACTGCCGTTTACTTCGTTTAGAAGCAAATCTTTGGCAACCAATGCTTGTGCAGTACAGCTCTGCTGCAACATTGCAAAGCACAGCCTTGCCACAAGCAGCCAGCAGAATGATGGTGCTGCAGCCATAGCCTCCGGCACCGATCAGTTGCTGGATTGAGGAGTTGACCATGCCAGAAAAGTTCAACCGATGGATGTACATTCGAGACACAATGGGTGCCAATGCGAAGAGACCCGCCACGGCAAGCAGCGTTCTACGACGGCCGACCAAGTTCGCTACCTATAAACAACAGCAAGACCCGCATGCACAAACGTTGCGAGAAGCTGTCAGTGCTTTCGGTCCGGGACCTGGCCGCCGAAAGCGCCCACTGCGGCTGCCAGAAGGGCAGAGCTCACCAGCACCTTTCATAGGGTCAGATGCAAAAGCTGGTTCGTTGAGGCAATGCTCGCAGAGGTTGGCCTTAAAGGACGCGGTGGCATGATTGCTTCAAGATTATCGGGCCTTGGTAGTTTATGCTGCGCTTTTCCTTCAAGATGGTTTGGGGCCTCAATGCATTTAGACTGGCTGCCTCTGCCACCGATCGACCCCAGAGCCGGACAAATCCTATCCAAGTTTTCTCTAGGGGTTGGCTTTCAGGTTTGTGATGAAGTGTCATTGAAGACACAAAAGTTTCGGCGCAGTTGCCCAGCCATGTTTGCACTTACTGAACCTGAATGGCAAGTGATTCTGATGGGGATGTTCAACGTGCCTTGGTGGATCTTGGTGGGAGCATGTTGCCCAAGCACTAAGCAAGCAAACCTGCTTCGTATGATTGCAAACTCCGAGCCCGCAGCCCCAGATGCCAGCCCACCCCCATGATCGAAGCTGGTGTCCTGAAGACAAGTCGCCAAGTGCCAAGTCCACTGGCACAGAAGTCATAGAACTTACCTGTTACCTGTCATCCCGGTCCTCATGAATGCCTCTCTGCGCCCCAGCCACAATCCCAGTGTTGTAGCCCAAGCAGAATGTACTCAGGCTGGCAATCGCAACTGTCCTGGCCAGGGAGGAACCCCACGTCAACCCTGACGGAAAGGACTAAGTGCCTCTTCAACTGTGCCAAGTCCGCTTCCAAGGATAGCCTGTGCTGTTGGGTTGTTGACAGTGTCCAGACTGGCACAGCTTCGTCGCAGCTCCCGCGAGGAGCTGGCCCAGCATTGTCAGCTAGAAGTTGGCGGCGGAAGGCACCCTGCAAGGCAGATTTGCAATCCTGAAGTTGGCAAGAATAACCAGTTCCTGAGTGGCTTCAATCGGCCTGACCATTTGTGTTGTCCGATGTTTCGGAGCTTTCAGGGCCCATTGCTGTGGAAAGCAGGGCCCATTGAGAATTAGCCTGTGACCCACTGGCGCATTTGCAGCTTCCCTATTTCAGCGCCGAGCTGGTGATGGTCACTGCCTCTCTCTTGAACTTACCAGATTTCCCAACCACTTTGGATGTCTCGTACTTTCATACGTTTAATTACAAATTCACGTGCAGCTCCTTTAGCTCATGTACCAGGAGACTGTCTTCACCATCTTGCTTCGAGGTGTATCAGGATGCCTGCCGAAGCTTCTTGTGTGGAGTTTGCTTGTGCCGAAATGGCTGCGCATGACTGACCCTAGCAACCCCTTCTGTACCACTTGGTGTAGTCTAGGTACTGCACATGTTTTGTTTTGCGCCGTTGACGGGCACAGTGTGGTCGGCTCAAACGAGGCATGAGACCTGGCAGTTAGCCGAGGTCAAACGGGACTCGTCCGGGCTTGCAGAGCATCTTGCAGCCCTGGGGCAGCGCTAGCTTGGGCGGACTCGACTCTTCAGTTTTTTTGCTTGGGACCCACAGTTTCCGCAGGTCCTTAAATGCCCTCAGCACACCAGCAGTTTTTGCAGCAAGCTAGGGTGGGCAAAAAACTGTCCCGCCATCTGCAGAAATGCAACACATGAGGGGAGAAATGCCAGAGTTGCAAAGAAGCCTCTCCTAAACCATTTCTGGCATGTTTAGCCAAGAGCTTGGCTTGCATAGTTCACATACCGACTACATTGCAGGAAGCTCTACCTTCCGGCTGATGAGAATCACCAGCTCAGAATGCGCAGCCGCCATCCTTGTTCAGCAAGTCTGACACGCGCAGACTCACTTGTGCATGCTGTATGCGAAGCAAAACCTTTTCCCACGTTCCTTTCTAGCAAGCTCGGGCTGTGACATCCCTGAGAACCTCGTCGATTTCCTGTGACGGGCAAGGTTTGCCTAGCATGCCTCATGCAGACTAGCAGAGCAGCAGACCGGGCAAAGCCTTGTCCAGCTCCCGGTCAAACTCCAGGGCAGCTGCCGTTGGATCATTCTTAGTGGCAAGCTGAGGAGGTCATATGAAGGAATCTGTTTGCATTTGACTTGTCTAGGCAAAATATGACAAAACTGTTTTGATGAGCACAGCTGTCTTTTACAAGCTGAATTCTTTGGACTTCATGGGGAGGAGCAAGAAGCTACTTGCGGACGAGTCAGAGCCATGAAGCATGCCTGCTCACCAAGGCAGCGTCAAAGCTGTCAGAGCGAGTTTCAAGGCGAACCACTTGGGGTGGGAGGGGAACTGGACGCCACGGAAGTCTGAGCAGCGAACGCCATCAAAAGGATCTTCACCCTGCGTGAGCCATCGTACTTTGACACATGAATGCAATCTCTCCGATCTGTAGGCCTGCTGCCAGGCATCCTCTGGCTTGCCAAACAAGGGATTGGCGACCTCACGCACGCAACATCCGCTGAGACTGCTGAGAGCTCTCGTGGCATCTCATGCGTGGACGATGCAGTCTCTCTGACATCAAGGTGGCGGGCCCCAACTCCACCATCCTCACTGTTCGTCCACGGGCTTGGCGCCTACAATGTGCCGCCAGGTCCCCCAAGTCGAAATACCCATCTTGGGGATTTTGGGGGTGTCATCTCTGCATGAGGCTTCCGGCGTCCTGCGAAGACGTTCGGATACCTTTGAGCCACCACCAGGCCTGCAGACCAGATCCGCAGCATGAACAAGAACAAAAACTTGTTTTCTGCTTGCCCTTCGCCTCAGCGCTGCTATCCAGCAGGAAAAGTGCGGACGTCCAAGCCTGCAACAGGCTTCGTACTGGCACGGTTCCGCATCAGGGCAGGGGCCAATCGCCAACATGTCAGGCCAAAGCTTGGAAACTGCCTTTTGTTCCACAGTTTCAGCTTATTGATGCTGCTCTTGGACACCGGAAACAGTTGTGCGTATGACTATTCATGTCCATGACTTTTGCAGCGCATTCGCATTCGCAGCATCTTTTGTGCAGTTGCCGAAGGATCAGTGCATGAGAGGATCCTACTGATACTGTTACGTGCTACCATGCAGTCAGAAGTGGGAGTAACTCAAGCCTTGGCAGCCGCCGTGGCTCGGCCAGCAGCTGGCGAGGAATCCACGCGTAGCAGGCCCGTCTTGATGATACTGGCGCAAGGCTTAAGGAACACTTTATCCTGTGCTTGCGGATCATTGGTACCCTGGCTGCCTAATCCATTCCACGATTCTTAGGGATTGCAGGAATTGAGACTGAACCACTCCATCAAAGCCAACCCACGACTCTTCACGTCACTGCCCCAGATTTGCAGCGGATGCTGTCGCGCCACTTACGGACTTGCCCCTGCAAAGGGCCCGCCTGTGCACCGGTCTCAGTCGTGATCCCTGCTCAGCCTTGCAAACCCCTCAAGCTTCTTCCCGCTTCATATCTTGATCCACACCCCCATCCGAGCTTCTCGCCACAGGGGCAATGGTTACAGCCAGCGTCAGCCAGCAGAACAGCGTCCGAAGGGTGTCAACTGAAGGCAGCATGCTTTCAAACAGAGTAGATCACCGCAAGCACGGGGCTGATCAGTCAGTCTCGCATACCTTTCTAACTACTTTTCAAGCCCGCTGCCACTGGCCCGGAGCACGAAGCAGCTCATTCTCCCGCATGTCACGACGCGCGTTCAAGATTTCAGACAATGGCGATGCAACTTGCGCGCTCTGAGTTGCAAACTGCCACTGCATCCGCTGGCAACCCAAGTCCAGACCTTCAACAGTGCCAGCAAAAATGAATCTCAGTGGTCCGGGGATGCCCGAAGGCCTAGGTGTCCGGAACTAGAACAGATTAATGAAGATATGTCTGTCACCCTCCAGCTCCTGGGCATTCTCAGCCATAAAAAATCTGGTGTGTCAAAATGTCGGTGGCTCTGGGCGGTCGCGTGCAATTCGGTATGGAGGTTTCAGCGCATCATGCCAGCACACAGCGAATCCTGAACAACAGTAGCGCAGAAACGTCCTGCTTAAATGCGCTCAAGAAAACAACACGGCCCACTGGATTTCAACAAAGGAGCGACCCTTCGAACAAAAAGCACTAGTAAAGAAGGCTTGTGGGCAGTACCTCATGCAGACCTACTTCAAACTCAAACCACAGCGATCCCTGGAAGTATCACACTTGCTTCAGCCCCTTTGTAGCCCGCCGGACAGGTCATACCACGCCTCCATGAGCAGCTGCTTTGCGCGATCCATGCGCCGAGGCTCTGCTTGGGCAGACGTCCAGGATGCCAGCCTTGGACATGGAGTTTGTCAAATTGCGCCAGCCTGACTAAAGTCCACTGTAGTACTCCAGATTGCTAGGGCGTTGAGCACACTTGCTGCTGCCCATCTCACGAATGAGCAGGCAAAACTTGAGCAGGTTGCAAACAAGGTCTGCTAAGGGCGTAACTCCTCCGCGAAACCTGCCAACAACTAGTTAGCATGCAGGCGCAACACCTGCAATCCCTTCTCACTGCAGTGCCAACTTCCTGCTTTAGCTTTCACTGCTGCATTTTTGCAGCGCGCTGCAGCGTAGAAGCAATTGCAGGGGCTCTTTGGCCTCCTGCAGAGTGAGCTACCCGGCTACTCCGCATCCCAACCATCTAACAGGACCATGCCGGACAGAACCTGAGCTGGGACTAGAAGTCTCCAGGACTGGTATATCCGTGTGTTGAAGCGGCTCCTTGCAGACCAGGTGCTGCTCGCGTGTACGCACGGCTGGGATCCTCCAGTTGCAATGTGCCGTCCTTTTGGAGCCCAGCATCCAGGACCTCCAGCCGATCTGTCGCTCGCGTGATGGCGATTTCCTCTAGTCACTAGTCGCAAGAGATAATGCAGAGGGAGTAATTAACCAGAGAAAGCTACACGTGCCCATATTGCATCTGTGAGGCAGCCTCCCAATCATCCTCCAGTACTGCAACACCTCTCCTCACTCAAGGCCATGCTGCTGTCCATATGCGTTGCCAGCACATTCTGAGGATCCAAAATTGCTTTTTTTTCTTGCCAAGGCTCCCGGCATCCCGCAAGTACATAGGCTGCACATGCAGTAGACCGTTGGGCCCATTCCTACGGTGCAGAGCGAACCCACACGTATCCTCCGGCCGCGCTTTGTGTAGACTCACGGCTGTGCAGGTTCCCCTGGCCTGCTATAATTCACCTGCACAGCCACAACATGGCCTTAGATCTGGCTCGCTGAACCCCAGTCTATAGGCGAATCGTGGTCTTGCATGATGGTGGAATGAGCCGGTACATTGTAAGGCACGAAAACGACGGCAAAGACAAGTCAAGACACCGATACCCCATCCGAAGCCTCTCTGCGGCTGAAGCAGACGAAAGAGCACAATGGATCCTCCCAGAAGCGGCAGGGGACACCAGCTGCAGCGACCAACAGAGCCACTCTGACCTTCAGAGACGAGTCCCTCCACAGCTGCATCGTGCCTGCACAAACTGAGCATGCGGTCTCTGCTTCAGGTTTTAGCTTTGCTCGCGCATTTCCAAATCACGCTGGCCAAAAGCTGCCTCTTGACAAAGGTATTCAGGACAGGGGCACGTCCAGCCCAGCCATCATCATCGGTGTCTCTCCTTGCACTGGCTGCCACTGGCTTCATGGGGCTCGAGCCAGACATGATGGACCAGCTGAGCAGCTCAATCTGAGCGAAGTTGCCCCAGCCAGGGATAGCTGAATCTTTGCCCAGCCTCTGGCAGCAGAGGCTAGTCAAAGTCTGCCTGCTGCTGAACTTTGGGTGCACCAGGATGGCTGCATTTGCAAAACGCCAATACCACAGCACGACCACAAGAATCAAGCTGTCTTGCCAAGAAGCCAGTCAGCGAGAAACTCGTCCACGGCATCAGCTTGATCAGCCCCTGTAACGCCAACAATGTCCAGGCAGCTGAGAGATCTTGAACAACTGCAGGAAACCACTGCAAAGTCATCCAGCCCAGATGCGTGACAAAGCATTGCTATATGAGATTTACAGGTATCTGACATCAACTTGCTACGAGCACAAGCTATTGAACCTAGCATTCTGACCACCCGCTCAGGCACTCCGCGTTGAGGCAGTATGCAAGATGGGGGCAAGATCAGGACGCGAGGGTATGGGCAAGCTCCCTGGGACAACACTCATGCATGCGTAGATTCATGTTGCAACAATTGCCGAAGACAGGTAGGCCGAACATCGCCTGGTGTGAGCACCAGTGTCCGCAGCGGAGAAACGTTCGACGTCCACCAATGACAACGTGCAAATCCATTGGCTTCGGGACAATCGGCTGACCCCGGCCTGACGGGCCAAGCGCACAGTGCAGCCGTGTTCCTTTACATCTCTTCCTCGCTTCCACCCGCTCCCACCCTCTACCCCCCTCTTTCCTTCTCAGGCCTCCCTCAGCCTCTTTCAGACCCCTCCCACAGCCTCGACTATCCCCACTCTGTGCATCCCGACTCTATCCCACACCTACCCTCAACCGAACCTCTTATCATTTTCCCTCCAGCCTCCCCGGCGTCCCCCCAAATCCCTGCCCTCCAATGTCCGGAGAATTTTAGGCCTAGCGGCAGGGTCCGGCCCTGCCGCCTTCGTACTTTGATGGCTTTTCTTAGGCTTTGACCCCTCCTGGTCCCAATTAAACCAAAATGGGTTCCCAATTGTGCTGATGATGCTTCTGTACGAGGCGCGCGCACGCGCGGCGCCTTGTACAGGAACATCAGCAGCACAATTGGGACCCCGTTTTGGGCCGTTTTCAGTTAGACTGGAGAGAACAGGACCTTCCAAACCGAAAAAGAAACAAAAAATCCTAGGTAGCAAGAACATAACTTTTTCGTACATTTCTCTCAATCAGGAGCAAACTCGCGAAGACTAATGATAGCCATGGTTGCAACATCCAACATTCAGAAACCCCATTAGGCCTGGCCCAGTGGGCACAGGCAGCCTAGAATCTAGAAGCCTGGCACAAGGAGAAAGGGGACCCCAATGATGCTGATGATGCTAGCCAAAGGGCCCGCATCATCAGCATATATAAACGGCCCTCGAGACTTTCTCAAGGCCTATCAAAATCTTTCAAAGCACAAGATCATCAAGCGCTTCCAGAAATCTGAAAGTAGAACTTGCGGCAGCAAGAATAGTTTGCAGGATCATTTTAAGCCTCTTGAGGCCCCTCTCGAGATCCGTTGTGACCTTTTGAATAGAGAATGAAGGGGACTTGGAGCCAGCTGCGGCCTACAATTCTATATGCATGAGAGAGAGGCAGCCAGGGCTCGTCTGGGCCCGAGGCCTTGCAGGGACCCCTTTGATGGTATTATAAAAGCGAGTCCCCTAGGCCTCGTGATCTTGCAAGCTGGAGGGGCTTGGGATTGCTCATGATGCTGGCTTTTGGGGGGCTGCTGGGCGCTTAACATGCACTATAAACCCCAAGAAAACACTCAAAATACATGCTGCGGGCAGTGTTTGTGGCTGTAAATACCAGTGATGGTGGGATCTGCACTGTATGACAAGCACGAGACAGGGTTGGCATGCATTGCCCAGGCCAACCCTATAACATGCGCATGTTGCATGCTTTTGGGGTGTGTTTTGCCGATATTTCCAGCACTTTCGTGGCTCCTATAAGCTTGTCCAATACGTGAAATGTGGCTGCTGATTTGCAAAAAACTGCACTAGAGCATGGTCAGCCTGCGCAGAGAACCATGTTCAAAGTCGTGTTTGAAGCTTTTTCTTTGTGCTGATGATGCTTCTGTACGAGGCGCGCGCGCGTGCGCACGCGCCTCGTACAGGAACATTATCAGCACAATTGGGACCCCATTTTGGGCCGTTTTCAGTTAAACTAGAAAGAACAGGACCTTTCAAACCTAAAACACATCCCAGTGGCAAGAACATAACTTTTTCACTTGCCGCCAGGCCCTAATAAATCATTTGCAGTTTCCGAAATATCTAATATTCACAAGACGGTGCCCATGTTAATGCTTTTTGTGTAGCTTAGCTTAGTACCAAAAACAGCGTACCGAAACAGTTGAACGCACGGTGAGCGCGTTGCTGGATTCTGGATTCTGCATTTTTTGACTTGATGAAGTTGTGTCTTCAGTCTGCAAATCCCTCACCTGCCTCATTCCCGCTTCGGCAATCCCATTCGATGGCAACAGAAGCTGTTGCTGCATTCTGCTTACATCGGTGGACATGTTGATTCGCTCGTTCATGCTGATGCCTTCTCCCGGAGAGAGGAGTTCCATCTCATCTAATCCCTGCAGAATGCGGTATGCCTCCTGAGCTGCAACTGGCGCCTGACGCAATCATCTGTAGTTATAGCTTCATGGTATAGTTGAAAGAGTCGATACCTAAAGCTGCGATCAGAGCGGCAACAACTCTCCGGAAGGACTCATCGCTGCCACCCTGAACGTCAGGATGTGATCGTGCCGCCAGCCGGCGGAATGTACGCCTCTGGCAGAAGCATTTTCCCACAACACGCACAAGCCAGACATGCAAATTTGCGACAAGGCACCGCAGCTCTTCCATAGGCGGGACATAGTCGAGGCCCAAGGCACGAAGAGCCTGGTGGCTCAGCATTTTGCAGCTTGAGCTGCTCTGAAGGGCCATACATCTGCAATATCTTGGGATGTCTTGGGCACAGCTTGGCAAAATGTATGGCTGCTTTTTGGCAGCAACGTACTGGTTGCGGACAACATTTCAGCAATAATGCTCACGCAGCCAGCTGTAGCGGTTGGAGCCACTGATTAGCATGGCAACACCTGAAGCACATCTTGCAGAGAAGCAGCGCCTCAGCTTTGGCAGCTGTGCTGGAAGAGGAAACTGCCGCAAAAGCTGTGCGCGAGCACTGCGCTGACCTGCAAGCAATTGAGCGAACACTTGTACAGAAGTGATATCAGAGCCCGCTCAGACAGCAGGCTGCCATAGGCTGCTCTTCAAGAGCCTGTGCGAGAAGCGTCCCCACCACAGCACCGCGCACGCCAAGAGCACCCCGAGACGCGTTCCCATGGCATTGCAGCAGCTCGTCTCTCAATGGCCATCAGGGCGCCAGTGTGCTAGAGTAAGTTGGTATGTAGATACTGGAGGAGCTGTGGTTTCAGAAGATCTCACTTCTATCTACGAGCAAAGCCTTCAGACTCAGCCCCGGCTTTGAACCAGGCGTGCAGCCAACTTGCCCGAAGTGCTGGCAGAAATCTCTTGCAAAACAGGAAGCCTCATATGCTCTGCGTTTGTTGGACCCATGCGGCTGCCTTCTGCATCAACCAGCAGCTGCCGGGACTGCGACCAGCGCCGATCGCAGTTGCACTGCGGGTCCAAGACCCAAGCCAAAGCTGCCTGGGAGTCACGGGGTGCCACCCAACATGATGGCCACAAGCTATATGGCCGTCAGCGTATTTTACCAAGGTTGTGCTGAGGGCGGATCAAAAAGCCGTTCGATGCCAGTGCCCAAAGCGCCACGTTGCATGTGCTGCAAGCAAGTAGTCATGATGCACCACACTGCTGCATGCGAAAAAGAAAAAAACACATTAAAGTGATGGCACGCACGACGTGCAAAACGCATGCAGCACAATTGTTGCGTTTCTGCGGCTATCCTTTTTCGTAAACTGTCTAGTTAAAGCCAGTCGAGGGAGAATGTAAGAGCCTGCGAGGAACTACTTCCGCCTCTACGACCGATTCTCCCCGCATTGGTATGTAAGAATACTTACACGATTTACACAACAAGTGTCTACGCTGGTGGCTCCTCTGGCGGGTCGGGGCTCGCAGCGAGCTCGGCGAGCTGTTCTTCATCGATGGACCTCCATGAAAGGCAGTGGCCCATGGTCTGACACATAAGCTGGTCAATGTTACAGATAATGTTACAGTCGCCTGGCTGTCCAAGTATTCTTGCCACATCCCTTCTTTTGTTCACGTGACACGAGGACAGCATGCGATTCTGCTGCACAGGCTTTGAGATAAAGCCTGGCATGAGACCAAGCATCCCCAAACACCTTTGGCTTCTGCACCCATCAAAGTTGGATGTCCATACCCAAACTGCTAATGCAGCAATGGCCTCGCAATTCGCTTGAGGGTCATGTCGAAGGACGGAAGTGGTGCCAGCTGGATGGACATGATGGCCTGCATGCGCATGAGTTTTTTAAGGGCCTGCAATTGGTGACGTCAGAGCGCAGGAAGCATGATGCTACTTCTAGCAAAAAACAACATCCACGGCTTTGCTCAAGGACAAACTACAGGAGCCATAGGGAAACCTAGCTACAAGTACCACCTGTAGAGAACTGCCCTCCCTGTTGCGAGCAGACATTTTACTTTCCATTCTCACATGCGGTGTGTGTTGGCTCGGATTGCAGCTGATTGCACGGTGCCTCAGCCCACCTAAGGCGCTGTGCTGGCTCTGCAGCAGGGGGGCCTGGGCCACACGCGTATGTTTGACTTAGCCTTCCGCATCCAGAACGAAAAAAAAGACCGTGCAAAGCTTGTAGGTCTGATGGACACAGGTCTCACTCCTCAGCACTCTCCAAGCGTGTGACTGTTGAGGTAGGCGAGCCCAGCACCTGAAAGGAAAAAGCATAATTCAGGCTCAGATCCCTCTGCCATGACAGTCAAGGTGAGTTGGTCCATGTCGCTTGCAAAGCCACCAAGCTCACGGCTATCGATTGCACAACGCACGTACCTAGAGCGGCATGCCAGCGGCACGAAAACAGGGAACCCCGCAGCTCTGGTTCGCGGTCTTCAAAGCCTTCCGATGCCTTGAAGCCACTCGCAGCATTGCTTCCTCCTCCGCTATTTCATGACCTCTAATGCAAAATACCTTGAGAGAAGCCCTACCTTACCTTTTGCCGTAGATGCCCTGCCATGCAAAACGAATCGCGTCTCGGCTGGAGCACTCCACGTGCGGATAAACGATCGGGAGACCCTGCTCTGCCATCGCCTGCCAGATGCTGGCAGCTGTCAAGAGGTGCAAACAGTAGTGAGGTGTGACCTGTATACTTCGTAGACATCAGCGCAAGTCTTCTCACTAAGCCCCATCACTCTACTGTGCCCGAAAGGTGTTCGTTTCTGCTTTCTTCAGCATATGCCCGCGTAGAACACTGGGAGACGGGGCTGGGCGTGAGCTTGACCACGATAAGTTGTCATCATGCCAGCTGCGTGGAGCAGCCGTTCCACTTGCAGGGTGTTCGCAGTTCAGGGATTCAGGCCAGCCTACATTGTGGCACTAGATCTCTGAGGAGCTTGCCGTCAACAATCAATGCTCGAAATTTCAGGAACTGTCAGTTGCATGCAGCATCTTGCTGGGCCTGCAACTGGTTGCAGGCAAGGTTGGCTGCCTGGCAGGTCATCTAACATCAGCTGGCATGCATCCTGCTAACACGGAGAGAGCTCTCCCTCATACAGTATCGTCCTTTCACATGCTGAACCCTTTGACCATACTGGGCCATCCCGGGCCATCCCGGGCCTACGTAGCAACAGCAATGCAGGAGTGGAACTTCGGATAATGAGGCACTGCAACGCCTTGCCTCCTGGACAGCATCCACGTTTGTACAGTCCGGCGGCAGGGTACACATGCTCTCCAGATCTCAGGTGCAAGCATGGCACAGGCAGCACCATGCGTGGAAGCAGTCACTTCAATGCCGTCACTCAGAAACTGGGAGAGGCCACCCCACTCTGCTATCATATGGCATTATACAGGTTGCGGTCTCAAGCGCCACGAAGATCCCCTAAGGTCTGGATTCGAGCGGGCCCACTATAGGTTCTGAAATGCTCGCTTCGAAACTGGGTTCAGCAGCTGTCGAAAGCCTATAGCGGCCGCAACGAGCCGACTGCTTCACACGCAGCAGGTGAGATCCGAAGAGCGCAGAATAAGTTTTGGGAGCTGTGAACACCACAGGTCTACATCAGCTAGTCAAACTCCGTTCATCTTCATTTGTGAAGGAGTAGTCCAAAACTGTGGGAACAAAGTCTTGGATTGGACTGAGCAGCAACTTGGCCCCTGCTAGGAGAATCATGCAGCTCCAAAACATGTCTACAAATGGGTTTGTAATGCGTGAAAGAATTCCCTCCATGCATTCATTGCAGAGGCCCTCATTTCCAGATAAGCCGAGGCACCAGAGGACACGCGAAGAACCTGCCACTCGGAAGTGCGTTACAAGGGTCGAGCAGAAACTGCCAGCCGTGACCGTTGCATGTTCTACAACTCAGCCCTTGCATCATGATAAACTCGCCCCTATACACGCGCCTTGGTTGACTCTTTGTAGGCTTTCTCAGCCTGCTGACCAGAAGAAACAGCTAGACATAGCTGGTCATCACAACGTCTTTGCCAAAAGACTGCTGTGGTGCTTGCGTTCTCTCAAGCTTCGACTTGATGCAAACGGGAATGTCCCAAGTTGACTCTGGTCCAGAATTGAAGTGGGAACAAGTGAAATTCCTCTCCAACGTTCTGTACTTGCTGGATGTTCTATCATGTCTAGCATCATCTGGCATCTTCCCAGTGTGCAAGATATGTTGCAAGGGTTGTAAACTTTCTCGCGCCCTGTCAGAAGATCCGAACTTTGGATGTGGCAGAACTTTCTCGCGCCCTCTCAGAAGATCCGAACTTTGGATGTGGCAGATCGGTTTTTGGAGTTGATCCCCTGCCTGGAGGCAGAAAGACATGTTTGCCACGGCGTAGGCGCGAAGAGGCACGAACTCGTGATAAAAATCCTGGCAGGTTCAAGTAAGAAACCCCGCCAGGACAGGTGCAAGCCGAGGTCTCATGTCTCATGGGGGATCAGACAGGGGTGCTTCGGGGTAAGACCACTTCTCGGACGCCTCATGGCAGTGTACACCTAGTGGCATACGCCGGAATCGACCGTCTGCAGCACTCTAGATAAAGTTTATGGCCGAACACAATCTGCTGCTGTATGGTGTGGAACCCTTTGAGCTATAGTTTGGGGGCAGGATGCCTGCATGGCTTTGACAAAGGCGCTCACAGCATGAAGGCCTCGTTGGTAGTCCGCCTCCCTGCACAGCAGCAGTGGCCACGAGCGTGAGATGCACTGAATCCGCACTTTAAGGCAACAGAAGTTGAAGCCTCTGTGAACTGCTGACCTCCAGGTCATTAGCATCCCCAGCGTAACACTCCCCAATGCCGGCCGAAACACCAGCCAAGCAAAGGAGCCATGAAATCCCCTGACGCCTCACGGGAGGCGGAGACGATGAGTCCTGCGCAGAGCTTGATTGTCTGCATTGAATGTACTGATTACAACATGTCTCAACGGAGTGCCTGGATGGCCATCAAATCTCGACGCCAGGCTGGTTCATCACGCTCACGGGAGGTTTCCCGCCTTCCCCAGGCAGGGCTGTCCTGTCAGAGTGTCTTGTGATGGTGCCTAGCTCTGAAGGTGTGCACAGTGTGTGTCACAGCATTCTATACTGCCGCTCCGTCATGTCACGCCGCCATCCCTCCGCAGAGGTTTCGCGCTTCGAGAAAGGTAGTTCCTGCATTAGCCATTTTGCTCAAGGCTACCAGTCTTCAAGGCTACACACGAACACTGCATGAAGCAGCACTGAGGAGCTCCCGGTCCCGATCGCTGTGGTGTGACCCAGGCTTGTCAGGAGTCCCAGGTGTTGTCGGCTTGGATCCTCGCTGCCGAGAAAGACATACTCTGTGAAGGAAACAGCACTGCGCACGAAGAGAGCAAAAGCAAAGGAGAGGGACAGGGGAAGATTCAGGGAGATGAGCAGCGAAAAAGGCTGTACTCAGTGGGGTGTGTGCCTGGAATGTGACCTTGGGATCGTCTCCGGTGCGCAATGAAGTCAGGCTGGTACATTGCAGGAAGTCCAGCCTTCAAAGGATGTCAGATCAGCTAAGCAGCTAAGCGGTAGTGAGCCATAGTCAGGTGCTAAACGCCCTGTGAAACATACAGTGCGTGCACATTGCACCATGTAACCATGAATCTCATCCAGCCTCTTCAAGCTCCTGCAGAAGACGAAGGGCGGTACTGAGGTTGGCCTCCACAGTGGAAACACCAAAGCGGGTGCTAGCTGGCCCACGGCTCTTTTCTGTGTACCATCAGAAAGCCAGCACAGCCATGGAAGCAGCACCTGTGGCACCAAAGGCTTTTTGAGCAGGCTTGAGCTCAACCTTGGCAAAATCTTCTCAGGCACGGCTCAAGGCAAAGGACTTATGCCAACTCAAATAGCCAAGGACTTGGCTCTAGGATCTCGCACACCACCTGCATCTGCCAGGGAGTGTCCACCTGCGCGGGCGCAATTCCGCAAAGGTGAAGACACAAGCGCTATCAAGCGCTCACAGTCAGGTGCAGCGCAGTGGAAAGCAGGCGAAACACTTTCAGTTTGCACCTTCTGGAAAGTAAGCAAGAACGGGTTACTGAAGCTGTGCTCGCCTGCACAGCATACTGGCCGGATCTCGGCACGCCCCAGGCATGTCCACGGAGAAGCTGGCAGGAGGCAGAAAGGTTAGGAACGCATGCATCCGACCAATGCTGCAGGTGATGTCGTGATCTGAGCAAGCAAAGTCAAATCTGCAAGACCTGAAACGATAACGCAAGCTTTTCACTCCAAGGTAACAAATCTGCACCCGTCAGCAGCACAACAGTGCCTCTGTCACTGTGCGAAGGATGTCCATCATCGTCAGCTGAAGCAAGGCAATTGCATTGATCGTTCATTCCGGCTCAGTCAGCAACATGTTCCAGCAGACTTTGTTCACGCATCGCAACAGACGTGATCTAGCATCATCTTGGAACATCTGTGAAAGGCGCGTTTATCCGCACCTGGAGCGACTGCTTGCGAGGGGATGGAGGACTGAATGCCTCAAATCTCGCGTTTTCAGAAGTACTGCCACGGAGCTTTAGAAGCCACCGCGCCGTAAACACTCACCAGGTGACAAAGCTGGCCAAGCAAAGGCACCAAGCATACCAAGCTTCCCACGCGGAGCGTGTTTCTCTCTCGGCCATGGGGGCTGACTGCTGCGACCTCACCAGGAGGAGCAGCTGCGTTGTCGCCGAGAGCCTGAGTACATCAAGCCAACGCAACATCCACAACGGCAGGGGCTGCTTACCGTTCCCAGATGCACGATGAAATGGGGGCTGCTTCACATCTCGAGGAATAAACGAAGCATGCCGCTGTGGCCCTTGCTTTGACTGTTTCGTTCTTCCTCACAGAGATTGCCACCCGCCGGCCACCCTGGCAAGCACGCGACATTCATGAGTCCCTCACACCATCAAAAATGCCGTGGCAGCTTGGGGCATGGGCGATGATCTACCATATCTACCGTTAGACAGAACACCTTCCAACAGAAGATCAGGCGTTGCCCACCAAACCCCTCCCCAACAGCCATGATGCCGCGTTGCCAAGTTTGCACCGGCCCATTTTGCTTCGAGACCCAAGCTTGGCGGAATTTCCAATAACCTTGCCTGGCACAGCCCTCAACTCGCGCTGATGACGCCCCCGGCTTTTGTGTAAACTGCTCGTCCTTGCTGTCGATTGAGTGGTGTGGTGTTCAGCCCAAGCGTACTACTCACTACTTGTAGCACCAGCAGCAGAGTCAGTGCCGTTACTGCAGTCCTACATGGCCAAGCAGGCGATTGCCCTGCCCAGAAAACCTTGCAGCGGCTTCTTCCGAGTGCTCGGCCTGACGTCGCTCACCACCACCGGGGCGTGCTACCTCCAGGCAAGCTCGGCTCCGAGAGAACTCAAGTTGCACAATGCAAGCAGGCAAGCAAAATGTTGCGAAACTTCTGCTAATCACAACAACGTCCATGTACAACGTCCAGGGCACTGTGGTGTCGAACATGCTGGTGCCATAGATGAGGCAGATAGCAGGATCTGCGAGTTGCCTGCAAGCAGACGGAAGGCTGGAGGATTGAAAAAGACATCGAAACCTCAAGCAGCCCCTGGAATGAGGCACACTGGGCCTTAGCCTGGCAGTCTATATCTAAGATCTAAGGCCAAGGCCCGCCCATGAGCGACGGCAGATCCAGGTCCAGCTGCGAGCACTGCGCAATCTTTAGCATTGCCGCCTTCCATCCAGATTCATCCAGGAATCCGATTGGCACCCGAAACACGGCTGCAGACATCCTGACGGAATCCCTTCTTGAAGAAACTGCCTCAATTCGGTGGACCAAATCGTCAGACCTTGCATCGAAGCGTGCAATGTGACGAGCCAAAACGAGAGAGAGGAATCGCCGACGCTACCCTGGTCACTAACAATTGCTAGCACATTCATTTATCCATCCTGCACGCAACAAAGAACAAATGTCAGCGCTGAGGCCCAAGCCTGTAGTAGAGGGTACAGAACTCGGTCACAATTCGAGCACACGTCTGTATGCAGCACAAAATCTTGCACGGTACCATGAGGAGCCGACCACTACACTCTCCCTGTCCCTCCGTAGATTCTTGACAAGGGTGTTGGCCTGCGATGCAACAAGCAACTTGCCCAAAACAATCCACAAACCTGACCCAGTGGCAGCACAACAAATTGAGCTCCGAGCTGAAGGCTCTCTGTTTTCAACAAGAAGCACCTGCCAATGAACCTGACACATGGACAGCTACAGATTGCCAAGCAAAAGATAAAAGCGCTTGGACATCACTGGGAACTCGGAACAGGCCGCAACAGTAAGCAGGACTTGTTCGAGCATTCTTCTCTTTGTCTTGGCTCCATGCCGGCACATTCTCGATTGCCTAAGCAAAAAAATGAAGCTGAGATCGCCCCCGGCATCTGCTTGGTCCACGGGCCTTTCCTAGCTCTGAGACTTTCTGAGGAAAGGTGCTGCAGAATAGCAAAGGTCCCGGCAGCAAGGCGATCTTGAACATCCTGCATCCAAAGATTCATCATGTACCACACACAAACTACCATAACAGCAGTTGATAGTGGATGTTCTCTCCTGATGTGAACGCATGATCCCCGGTAAATGCTTCAGCCACAAGTGGCTGTAGCTTGCGGCTAGCAGCAGTGTGCACTGCACGCACAAGGCTGCACCTTCACCGTAGAGCTGATGGGCATGTGCAGAAGCGCGGCCTCCTGCAATGCATTAACCACCGAGTACGATGATCGAGCACGGCAGACTGTCTCTGAATTGGCTGCAATATCATTGTGCATCTGAAAATAATTTGTAATTATCCCACAACGATTTCATGCCTCGCCGGTAATTCTGATGATCAGCACGTCCACCTCCGCGCAACTACTTGTGCATCTCTCTCGATGGGTCACATGCAAAGTGATCATGGCTGCTGGTCTAAAGAATGGCCATGCTAACTTCTTGGCCACTCACAGTCACAGACTTGTCAACCAACTAACTTCCATAAGTGTGTCACATCCGTGCAAGCAAGTGTTTGATGGCTTCGAATTATTGGTGTGCTGCAAGAGACAGCAAGCAAATCCTGATTCGCGCTCCCTCAATGCCTTGAAGTAGCCCCACTGAGCATGCCCAATAAGCAACAGGCCTCCCTTGCCGCCGTCTGATTGTGCTTGAAGGCTCGCGAGACCTCACCATCACTGACAATCCACCATATAGGCTACGTGAATCACGTGCGTGCCTCGGTCATCTTGTTGGCCCTGTGAAATGAAGCCTCTGCATCCACAGGAAAGGGTTGAGAAGATGATCATGCCAAGCGCAAGCCAAGTATGCAATTGGAGGCTTCTCTCCACGGTCAAGAGTTGTCTCAGGTGGGTCAGGCAAGGCCAGCGGCACTGCTTAGACAAGATCCAGGCTTTGGCACCGACGTCAGTTTGGTTCAGCTGGGTCAAGAACTCAGCGCAATTTGCAACACTCTCGCTAGACCTAGAACATAAGCTTGCCAGGTCAGGCTGGAAACACAGGATCAAAAGGTATAACCAGACTTTAATCATGGATGGGGTCACTTCTGGTATGTTAGCCACCTTCGGGCACGCACGGGCATTTACAAGATCAAACGTACAGACGCCCGCAAGTCAGTCAGGTAAGCAGGATGCATGCCAGCTCTGGGTTGGAATTCGCCCGGTGCCTGTTCATATAAACCGAGCACAGTGCGAATAGTGCTGCAGGCCACATGTCGTGGGAGATTTCAACACACTCTCACGCTGTGGCATGCTTTTGCCACAAATACTCCAGGCATCCATTGTTTCTCTCATGAACATTTTGCACCTATCGATGAGCCCTGAAAATGTGCCCTAAGAAGGTTCTGAATTGGACGAGATTGCTATCGTCTCATGCACGAAGGGCGAGCCATCCCTCCGTCCAGCAAGACTTTGCGCTTCGTCATCAAGGCCGGCTGCGACACAACAAATTGCTGGTTGAGAGGATGTCGGGCACAGGTTCCTCGAAACCACTGAAAACTTGCCTTACTTGATATGAAGAAGAATCATGAAGACAGAGAGTTCCACTCTCCTTTCCACCCACATTTCCATGATGCTGCGGCCTTATTCATACTGGCCATGTCCCCAGGAAGCTACCCCAGCACCACGTGCTAAATGAAGACCACTGACTTGTCCTTGGTGCCATAATGCCATGATCTTGCTATGACCAAACAAGGCTCACATCTGGGAACCTGGGAGCTCCCCAAGTAAAACTTCGCGTTATCAAGGTTTATTTTGAAGTGAAGGAGGCAAGCCGGGTCCAGGACCTTTGAGCTCCTGCGAGGTTCGCTGGGATTGAACACCTGGAGCATGCTACAGGAGAGATTGGGCAGTGCATCTTGGATTACCTGCTTGCTTAACACGGGCTCTTTCCGCCTCACGTGGAGGCGGCCGTAGGCCCCGGCAGACATTACTGAGGACCTGCCGGCACGGCGCAAAAATTGACAAACTTCTGCACAACAAGACATTGGGAAAGCAGTTGAGACAACACAGAGCGGGACAATCTGACCCTTCCAAGCGGATCATCGAAAGCGAGCCCCAAGACACCGCATTTGACACAGATGTCACCGCCAAAGCTTCCACCACTTGCAGCCGAGCCCGGTCTACACCTCAATGCTTCTCAACTGCAGCCACATGTTGGGGGGTGTGTGAATCGGTGCTGGGTGAGCCCTTTTGGTCAGCAGAATTTCAGCAGGTTTTCGTGAATGTCGTGCTTCACACCATAACAAACGAAAGGGGTGTTGGTGTTGCAATTGGACTGTTGCTAGCGGGAAGCAAGGCTTTTGCTTAAATTCGCAGAAGCCATCGCCGTCCGAAGACTAGCTAATCATCGAAAGTAGCTCCATCACTTGATCCACAGGCCAAACATCTACGCAAATTGGCTGAATTGGCTGATATTCGTTGAATGTCCGCTTCTTCTTTGGCAGCCCCAGGCAACAGTAACAAAAAAGTCACTGATCTCCTGCACCCTGCTGACAACCTGAGCTAGCAGCACTCCTCCACACAGTCATCCTCGAGTGGCGAGACGGAAGAACACTAGAAAAGCGTCTGTGTCTGCTGAGTTTGGAGCAGTTCCGCCGGCTACAGCCCAGGCCTTCGAATGTACGCGTCTCATGAATTGGGCGTTGACTCGATTGTCTGAGGAACCCCGCTGCGCTGAAGAGCATGTCACTGCCCAAGGAGCCCTTTGCCTTGCCGAAACATGACTCGCGGGGTGCTTCAGGTGCTTCAGAATTTGAGATGCAAAGTTCTTGGGAACATTGCCTTGTTCAGGACGTAGTACCACAGTGGCTGCCCAGCAAATTCCTCAGCTTTGGGCCGCATGGTCAAGACTTCCCGACAAGATCGCATGCTGCAACCATGACTCCGGGGCGTTCTGTGCCTCCTCACGGAGTTTGACGAAGACTGCCTGAGGTAAGGGCTTCCTGATGCCAACTCCAAGTTGAAACACATGTCCAATAATATCCAAATGCCCACGATCCCCAAGGGTGCCTGGAGATCTGAAAGCCTCTGCGCATCCGCGTCTCTCGCAATTTCGTGCGTGCCTGCAGCTGTGGCAAGGCAATGTTTTTCCAAAGTCCGATATGTTGTGATACCACCTGGAGGGATAGCAAACTCGGACGCTGGTAGCAACAGGAAATCACAGACATGAACATGAACAGTAAGCAATATCTTCGCTCGCGTACATGCATCGTACGCGTCTTGTAGCATAACTTTCACAACAGCAGATCTAGAGCTAGTGCTAATTACACTGGACGTCTGCGCATCATCTGCGCCTTTGCGCTTCTCAGGAGCCACCTGAAGAGTCTGTCAGCCCACATAACGACTCACTGCCCAATGGTACAGCCGCTGTAACATCTGCAATTGCGCATGGCCGCCAAGTGCTGTGCGCTTGCAAGGCTAAGCAACTCAAAGAAGCCCTTGGTGGCAAGGTGCACGCTTCATGTAAAGTGTGCAGCCATTCTGCACAACTGGGGCTGTTGCGAATGTCTGGTCCAAGAAGAGGAGGAACTGTCCAGCTAGGATGCTGTGCCGACGAACAGCCTGCAAAAAGAGCAGCACTACTCCCAACTAGCAGCTTACCAGCTAGAAATTTATGTGGCTTCAACATGAGGGCAGCCCGCTTAGAACTGGCTCTCAGCTCAGAGAAGGAAGACTTGTGACAGTCCTGGCCTCCACGGAGCAGTCCTGCGGCCGGCCGCCTACCTCGGCCTGCACCTGTCGACATCTACAGATGGTCAGAATCAATTTTTTTGCTGTGTCTAAGGATCCGCAACTCGTGAGACAGCAACCACATATTCCCCCAACACAAGCCTTGGCCCAGTGAGCCTTGGCTCGTTCAATTGGCTCCTTGGACACAGCTCAACTTGAGCTCAGCTTCAGAGTACAGAGCCCTGGTTTGGTGCCCTAAGAACCAAGCAATTCGGCCAGACGCAAGCCAATCTGGAAGCGAGGTCAGATTCTCTATCCTCGGCACCCAACAGGATGAGCTGAGGAAGCAGGAAATTGCATGTTTGGGCTTCTGCGAACGGGACAGCTCAGCTGAATGCAGAACTTTCGGGTTGTTCATCATGCGCTGGCAGGTCCTACACAGGTTCTGGCACTGCCATGTGGGGAATTCAGCATCTTCTGGCAATTCAGAGATCTCGCAAGGCTGTCAGCGATATGCCGCTTAATTATGCGTAGGAGGACATCACTAAGACCTACCGGTTCATTGCATACACAGCTTGCGACCAGAACTTGCACTTCACTTCATATCATGCACACACAACACTCCTCCAGCCGGTATCTCGTGGCGGATCACGCACAACCGGGTGAATGCCGGCAACACAATGGCAAATCGTCTCCATGACACCGTGCACCACCCTAGCCAGGCAGGAGCATCTGCAAGTACACCGAAGTGAGCGCGAAGACAGCCAATTTTGCACTGAAAACTGCCTTGGCGGCTTTGATGCCGCACGTAGGGTGGGAATGCGACCGGCCTGACAACAGGACCAACATTTCCAGCACATGGGCCAATTGCCCCGCACAAGCGAAGGCAAGCGATTCATGGATCCTTGTCTAGAAGCCTGCCTCGATGCAGGAAACGGCCATGCGCACCAGCTTGGCCTGTACGGCAGCTTTGCAGCAGTTGAAGAACGTCCAACAATGTCGCAGGATCAGAAGCAGCGTCCAATCTTCTGCACATACAAATACACACATCCATGCCAGCGCTTAGCAAAATCCAAGGAAACCAGAGACCCATTTTGGCCTGGCATCCATGTGATGTAATCTTCTACGCGCTCTGACCTGACCTTGTCTGCCAGCTCTTTCGCAAATGCTGAAGCCTCAGTGCAGGCTGCACTGCTTTCAAGATAACTTGTAGGAAGGCTAGCAAGAAATAAAGCCGAGTCAGGGGGGGCTATTACAACGGATTATAGCCTGTGTGCGTGCCTGTGCCTCCACTCCCTACTTACCACCAGCGAGACAAGTCATTTACCGGGCGCAGGGCCATCATGAGATCGTCTGGTTCAACGCCTCAAATGAAGCCAAGCATGCTTCGCAATGGATCCGTTGCAAGCCCAGTTGACAAGTTGAACATCATGAACAGCACTTAAGCCATTGCATCCAAGAACCAAGGCTCATGGCGCCCACAGCCTGCACTGTCGCTTCGCGCATGAGGCACTCCTCCTGGTGCACAAACAGGGCTCGACAGCACGGCCAAACATGTGCCTCAATACCCGGCAAAATGTGCGAATATTCCGTTACACAATAGGACTGCGTGGGTACACGGCTAAAGCACAAAACAATCCACTATCAAGCCCCATGACATGTTGGAATATTGGATAGCCATCCCGCCTTAGCGCGCAGAATGTTGTCCGGCAGCCGGATGAACTTGTGATATATGCGTGGAGGTACCTGAAGTCAACCGGGTTCAACTTTTGTAAGTGCCCCCTTGATGTGGCGGACCGCCTCTGCTGTCACAAACTATCAAATAGAACATTGACATACCATGCAAATCTCCTCAGGCTCCGGCAGCCACTGCAGAAGCACGCCCAAGGGCCTCAGCAAGCGACTGTCAACGTGACATACTTGCATCCCAGCGGAAATCCGCGTCTTGGTTCCAGGCTTTCATGATGCTGACCGTATGCCCACCATGCAAAGCGATGTCCAAATATCGCAGCGAGCAAGTCTGGCAGCAGCAGTGTGCCATAAGGCATGATTTCCAAAGAGAAATGCGCAAGCTGCCCGAATCTGCAAACCCTGGAAACTCTCTCAAGTTTGCTGCGGCGGATGACGCGGGCGGAATGGCAACAGTCATCGGTCCATGCACTCACATTTCACTGAGCCTTCAGCAAACCTCTCGAAGCTATCCAGTGAGAGGCCTTGCATCCAGGATGCTAACATCGTTTGAGGACCCTGCGCAACAGTGTTGATCCAGGCTCGCGTTGTCAGGAGTCTACAGCAAAGGCATTCATACAGCCAAAAGCCCTACGAATATTAATGATTTCAGCAAAGCTCACATGTCACCAGGTGTGAACTCTGAATATGGGATCTGTAAACCGCATTATCAAGCTGCGTGCCATCTGCAAGGTTGGGTCGTCGAGGCTGAACGGCCAATTCTCCACCTGCCAGGAACTTTTGAAACTTTGAAGCGGCCGGCCTCTGGATCAAAGTAATCTTAAGGCATTGTCTCGGAGGTGCTGAGCTGCCAGCAAGAATTCGCAACTCGTTCTCCTTGGGAGGCACCCCCGTCGTGGAGAACCTGTGGTGAAATTTACGCTTGCGGGACGAGAAAATGCTAAAGATGGTGACAACACACCAAGCAATCACCTGCATATGCAGCTCTGAGGCCAGTGCCGTGCCAGGCTCATCAACACGTTCTCGTGCGGAGCTTGCAGCGCCTCCTCATCGCCAGGAACCTGAACCTGCGGGGGGATGACAGTAAAGCCCAGCGATTATGAGGCAAATGCTTTGATACAGAGGGCCTTGGGAACAGTTCATGTTGGGAAGCCAAGTCTCGATGCCCACATATGCGCTGTCCAAGTTCGCGAAGCATGGACACTCTGAACAAGGACTGTTCCCATGCAATGACTACACTCACAGATCTGTGCGAATGCTGGCCGCCGCACAGCAACACCTACACCTGCTTTGCTGCGTTCGGCGCACCTCCTGCATAGCTTCAGTGCGCATGAACTCCGCCTCTTCCACGGCCGAACGGATGGCTTCACCTCAAGGCAGAGCTCAACCTTATGAAGAATGATGGCTGCTCTGAGGAATCTCCTCAGTTCAGGACGCAGGGCTTCCGTCGCTTCCCTGTAGCGATTTTTGGCTACCTAACGATCGGAGCAGATCCAGACCGAATACAACACATACCCTTTTGTCACTTCGAAATGGAATGTCAGAGCATTACTGACTGCATTACTGACTGCACCAAGGGCAGAGCCGTTGCTTTCCATTTGATGCCAGCCATCTGCTGTTGCAGCACCGAGGGTGCAGCTCCTCATAACACGCAAAGACTCTCTGTAGTCTTGGTAGGGATTGGTTGCACTTGGTGGTTTGGCGTGGTGGCACTTGGAACACCAAAATGCCCCCAAAACGGAGTTGCACTGGGGCACTTCACGACAAAATCACAAGCTGCAATAGCTGCAGCAAAAAAAAAAAAAAAAAAAT